TGAAGAAGCCTATTTCTCAAGATAATGTCGTTGATAGTTCGGCGTCAGCTGATGATGGTGTAACAACCAACTAGCCTAAAGATCCATTTGTAACAACTGATAGGTCTTTAGCTAGTGTTGTCAATATACTATTGTTGCGGGTACAGGGTTTGGTGACTCCTCATACCTTTAACTTTAACATATTCCGAAGACTGTAGTGAACCCAGCTAGCACAAAAACATCCCATCTACGTTAATAAGCTGCAATTTTAGGCTCTTTAAGCTCGCATGCAATGTACTGTAAATGTAACCCTTATCTCCCTGCAACTACCGAATGTCCGCAACGGCAAGACTTTTATAGCACATCTCACAGAAGTTACAAAGTGAAGTTCGAAAAACATCACACTAGCACTTTTACGGTACTTACCCCGAAAGTTGCTCTGAAACGTTCTATTGATGTTATAATGTGAATTAGATATACAGCAGTATACAGTGTGTCCACGGATGGGCTTAACTATACTTGTGAAAATATTTATTTTAAATTAAAAAAGTAATTCTTCATAATTTCTTGCTTGTTAAATAAATTCGATTCACATTGAGAAATTATGAAAAATAACTTTTTCTTTAATTTAAAATAAATATTTTTACAAGTATAATTAAGTCCATCCGTGGACACACATTGTGTAATGTAATACAGAGAGGCTGAAATTGAGGCTATAGTAAAATCTCAATCGAGACATGAAAATTTCAAATAAAACAAAATATTTATATAAATTTATTATTAAAATGTTCTTGAAATCAAGTACCAATATAGCCCAATCGGATTAGGTGAAGAACAGGCTTGAGATTCTGAAAAATTCGAAGTAGCAATTTTCCTTCGGAATTCGTTGGAGGGGGTCTGTGGTAGTCTAAATTCAAAAAGTTGGGATTCCAAAGTTGTCGTTACCTCCGCCAGCTTGATTTAAAGGGTTATTTTTTGTATCTTGAATAACTCATTTATTTTCAATTTTACACGGAAAATAGTTTTTACAAAAGTTATTTATAATTAAATTTCCTGCAATTCTGCTTTGTTGTCGTTACCTCCGCCAGCTTGATTTAAAGGGTTATTTTTTGTATCTTGAATAACTCATTTATTTTCAATTTTACACGGAAAATAGTTTTTACAAAAGTTATTTATAATTAAATTTCCTGCAATTCTGCTTTTTTTTGTACGATCGATTTTTTTCGATTCATACCCGAAAAGAGGGGGTGAATTTTTGGTTATAGAATAACTCGTTTATTTTCAATTTTACGAGAAAAATTGTTATAAACAAAGTTGTTTAAAATTAAATTTCCTACAATTCTGTTTTTTTTGTACTCTTAGAAAAAATCGGAATCATAATTGTACCAAATAACATTTTTGAAAATCAGCAAAAAAAAACAAACAGAAAAAATAATGGTACAACATCAATAATAAACGTGACAATACAATACTTAGGTTCACCCCCACTCTTCTTAGGGATAAATACAAAAAAATCGATCGTACAAAAAAAAAACAGAATTGTAGGAAATTTAATTTTAAACAACTTTTTTTATAACAATTTTTCTCGTAATAGACGAATGGTGAGGATAATCAATCATTTAAGTTAACCTAAAATATAAGAGTTCAAATATAAAACGACTGCAGAATAGATAAATTACATCAATCACTGATGGACCAATTATTGAATAAAAGAACACACCTTATATCACAAACACAAGTACACATGTGGGATAGAAGAAGCTACCTAGAAAGCACTGAACGATTGGACAAAATTAGCTAAATAGTATAATAATGTACCAATATTGCAAAGGTTCACTAAAACCTTAAATGGTGAACGATGATAAAGCTAGATTGGTGAAAAATAATAAACGAATACAACAATGACTAGGTACATATTATTATATTAGATTATTAGAGGATAGCTAAGTTCGCTGATTTCTTACCTAAGACGCAGAGATATATCTTTTTTAAATCAAGCCTTTTAACTTTTTTGCATAGATATTTATAAAGTGCTATAATGTAACCTAAATATGACAATTTATTAGAAGAGCATAAATTATATTTTTATATAAAAAGATTTTACTTCTCAATACATTGAATAAAAAAGAAATTGATAACTTGTTTACCTATTATTAATTAAAGGAAATTATATAGAAATTAAAAAAATATGCCTTACTTTGTTGTTTTAAATAATAATAATAATTATAATAATAATAATAATAATAATAATAATAATAATAATAATAATAATAATAATAATAATAATAATAATAATAATAATAATAATAATAATAATAATAATAATAATAATAATAATAATAATAATAATAATAATAATAATAATAATATAATAATAATAATAATAATAATAATAATAATAATAATAATAATAATAATAATAATAATAATAATAATAATAATAATAATAATAATAATAATAATAATAATAATAATAATAATAATAATAATAATAATAATAATAATAATAATAATAATAATAATAATAATAATAATAATAATAATAATAATAATAATAATAATAATAATAATAATAATAATAATAATAATAATAATAATAATAATAATAATAATAATAATAATAATAATAATAATAATAATAATAATAATAATAATAATAATAATAATAATAATAATAATAATAATAATAATAATAATAATAATAATAATAATAATAATAATAATAATAATAATAATAATAATAATAATAATAATAATAATAATAATAATAATAATAATAATAATAATAATAATAATAATAATAATAATAATAATAATAATAATAATAATAATAATAATAATAATAATAATAATAATAATAATAATAATAATAATAATAATAATAATAATAATAATAATAATAATAATAATAATAATAATAATAATAATAATAATAATAATAATAATAATAATAATAATAATAATAATAATAATAATAATAATAATAATAATAATAATAATAATAATAATAATAATAATAATAATAATAATAATAATAATAATAATAATAATAATAATAATAATAATAATAATAATAATAATAATAATAATAATAATAATAATAATAATAATAATAATAATAATAATAATAATAATACTCTCCCTAATTCACCCCCTTACGAGTGAATTTTAACCCCAAAAGCTGAGCTTGTCCGGGGAAAGGGACGGCTATTATTATTATTTGCCGTGGCGCTCCGGGGCGACTTAAAGATGATTGATGGTGCCATTTGACTTACAGGTGAGGAAAACCCGGAAAACCTCACCCACCATCATCGAGACGGTAATGTATGGCGAATTTTTTTAATCTGCATGTCATATCAACAGAAATTGAATTTCTATTAATACGCCACACATCAAATCCTAAACCGAACCATGCAATTTAATTAAAAATCCACATGGTCTGGTCTGGGATTCGAAACCCAGCAGTCTCAGACTCATAAACTTGCCTATAAATGAATATAAGCGCGATAGACCGCTACACCACCGTGCCCGAACAACCAATGTTAGTGTATTGAAATTTGTTTGAATTTTACAAATTTTATGCTTGATTTCCAAAGTAGATATATCGATGGCTCAATCAAAAACCGCCACAAGTCAAAAAACAAAGCAATTACATTTTTGGTTCAATGGATGCAAAATATCATTACGGTTTTACTTTAAATGCCACCACAAACAAAAATAAATAAATAAATCATTTAAAATGTAATATAATCGTAATCATTTTATTTAACAGCAAAATATCGAAGCTTTTAAATAAAATATAAAGAGTATGTCAAAAACAAAATAATGATAATAGAGACTTACAAAATTTCAAAATGAAATTTCTCGAAATAATAGTATTTTAATTGTGGCAGTATTTGATTGAGCCATCGATATGTAGATTTTATAAAAAACAACTGGTGTTTTTTAGCAAGATATTCTATTATACTCGAGAGTATCATCTATGATTTCTCTCAACTTTTCTGCTGGGTTTTCACTTGAACTGATGGTTGCATTTCCAGGCAATCTAGCCTGTTGAAGAGAATGAACTGCTTGAATTCTGATATACCTGACATATCATGTACCTATAGATTCACTTTTTATAAAACTTCAGGTGTTATATTCTTCTTTACACTTCTGTAGTATTTACTTTTGCTTCTAAAATTCCTAGAATGTCGAAGGAAACCTAAAAAATAATATTTTTAAAATGTATTTTTAGTTCGATAAAGTATAATTACCTTTTATAAGTATTTGGTGTAAAATGTTGCCGGACATTCGGTTAAATGTTTATCTTCTGGTTTACAACGATTGATCTGCAATTCTTTGTTTTTATTGTAGTTTTTTTTTATTTGGTGTCATCAGCATCGACTGCTAAAGATACTTAATGAATGAAATAATAAATTTACATCAGGCATTGTAATCTGAAACAAAGACAATGGTTTAGAAAATAGTTATCTATTTTATAGAGGACCCTTACCAAATCTATTCGAATGTATAAATAATAATTATTTATAAAATAAATTCTGGATGTCGAAAAATAAACCATTAAAAAAGACAATTGACAAGAAAAACTGACAAGTGACAATTGACATAAAACTAAACGTTGTGAATTCGGATTTGTAATGTTTACGGTAGGTTAACTAGGTAAATAACAAATAGAAGTTTTGCGAGGTTTTGATTTCCCTCAACAACTTCTCATGAACGTTGCATTTACGTTGTACAGTAATGTTATTACGTTCCCTTAATGCAACATCACCGAAAGGCTTGGCAACGTTATGTGCTAGCTGGGAACTGCTTACTAGAAAGGTGCTTAGTTTCTTCTAAAGGTTACATCACAAACGAATATACACCATTAACATGTCTAGTACGACCCTAATTTGGCAAAATTTATCACATCACATTTCAGCGTTTTTTAACTAATTTTTTTATAAATTAAACATGGCGGCCTGCCGCGCCGATAAAACACATTAACGGTTGATTTTATTAATTTTGTTTTATTTTAGAACATCACTTTATTTAGACACAACGACAACATGGTATGACAATAAAACCCACAATCCAATTATCAACAAAGAAACAATCGCTTCCATAGCTTCTGCAATTGAAATAGCTGGATTAGTGGGTTTGGACAGGTTATTTTCGTTCATGATTATAAATGGACTACAAAAACTTACAGGTAAATGCAAAATATAACGTTTACGGATAGTGGGCATAGGCGCCGGAACTCAAAAATTGCTTTGGGTGCCGACCTCTATGCGGAAAATGAGAGCTCCTTCCCCCCTCCATATTTTTTGCCAGTTTCACCCTTGAACGGAAACCCTTTAGCGGGGGTGAAACTTTTCTCTAAAATCTTATTTTGAAGGTATTTTTACGTCGCAGATTTTCCAGTGATGTTGGCTGGGTCGCATACATTTTAAGTTTTAAGTGGCCCCATAAAAAATCTAACGGGGTTAGATCCGGAGACCGTGGGGGCCACTCAATACTTCCTTTTCTTCCTATCCATTGACCTGGAGACGTTTGATCCAAATAGTGACGAACAGTCAGTGCAAAATGGGGTGGCGCAATGTCTTACTGGAACATTAAGTTGTTTGCTATATACTGATCGTCATTCTCAATCAACTCTAGTAATGCTGGATGAATGTCGTTTTCTAATAATTCCAGATATATTTTTTGCGGTTAGAGTTCCAGTTTAATTATTCAGTTTTTCCGGATGTTGTGTATGCAGTTCATGAAATATTCTGGGATTTTAATCGGACCAATAACGACAGTTGTGAAGATTTACCGTACTATTTAGAAACAAAGTGTATTCGTCAGAAAAACACACGTTGCAATGAAATTGCTGATCATTTATTGCTTGTTCAGTCATAATTTCACAAAATTGTAATCGCCTATCAAAATCGTCTTAGTTAAGTTCTTGTACCAGATGTGTTTTTTCAATATCTTCTGAATGCTGCTTCTCTTAATACCAGATGTTATCGCCAACTGTATTGTGCTCAATGTGTTCAAGAACTACAACATGCCCTAAAATCATTTTCCATTTCACGTTATTTGTTAGTTACTGACCTTGTTTCTCAAAATATACTTGCGATGGACTCGTCGATTTTGATTGTTAAATAGTTGGGCAATTCTATTAGTACATCTATTGTTCACAAAAACAGTGAAATTATTTGCACCCTCTCAGTAATTGAGTAAACCATTATCACCGATATGCCACTTTTATGCCGACTTTATAACGAAATAAACTACACTCTACTACTTTACGGCGACCAAAGAATGTCATCTGATAACAATAAAACTAAAATTGTTACAAAAAAATATTTTTTTTATAACAATGTAAAGATTATGGTAAATCGGTTTTGTACTTTTGGTTAGCCACTGTACGGGCTACGTAGATAGTAGCGATGTACAACTCGGGGTTATAATCCAGGTAAAAATACCTTTAAAATAAGATATCATTCGACCCCTCTTTGCATTTAAAATTTTAGGGTTGAGTCTCATCCCCGCTAGAGGGTTTTCGTTCAGGGGGTAAAACTGACAAAAAATGTTAGTTGTGAGCACTTTAAATGAACGTTCCTTTTTAACCGTGCTTGATCTGAAGCAACTTCCAAATGTTCTTCCTTATCCCCTCAAGCATTTTCTTAATAGCATATGTTAATTGTAGAGCGTTATTAGTCGTTCTTTTTTTGAAGTCATAGGGTTTTATACAACAAGAATAATAAACCTTTAAGTCCAAGTTCAACACGATGTCAATGACAACTGACGCCGACTTTTTTATCACAAAAAATACAGCTCCGAACAATAATAATTTTAGAAATTGTTTTTAAAAACGGATTCAGAATACGGTAAAGAATGGTGAAAAGTCTATAGTTTGTTTTACTGCATAATATTTTAATAAGTGATATTTAACAAATATTTAAAAGTTATGGACTTTTCAACATTTTTTGTAGTATTTAAAAGCTAAAACGCAAAATACACTCTTTTATTTGTGTTTTAATTATTTAAGGAAACTTTTGTTGAGATTTAAAAGTGCACTGTCGATGAGGTGGAGCCAATTTGCAACCGTGCTAATTCGAAATATACGTTTTATTAAACTCATCGTGTTACGTATTTGTTAAAATTAAGAGATAGAAATTTAAAGTGACGTCTTGTATGACTTCGAATGAAAAATCGTCTTCTAATCTAAGAAAAAAATTGAGTTGGGTCTTAAGAAGAAAGCTTTAATATTTTGCATTAGGATTATCTCAGCACACAACTCTGACAGCCAATGAAAAACTGATGCCGCATTAAGGCATCCTATCGCTCTACAAACTTAAGCCACGATAGCTTCTTCATTTCACTTATTGGCACTTTTTATCCACGTTGTGCTATGGGTGCTCCGCACCCAGTTTAAAACTGCTCTGGGTGCTTGCGCACCCAGAGCCCGGGAATTCGGTGCCTATGATAGTGGGGGCTCGTGATCAAAATATTAGGGGTTCACTGTAACAGATTTTGGTAAAAAACTTTCAGTGTTTTAGAAATCTGTACTGAGATCTATATTATGTCTTTGTGAACCCCCAATATTTTGATCACAAACCGCCACTGTGAATTACAAGAGTCTTTAATAATACACACCCCACACAAATTATCGCATCACTAAAATGTTAGCAAAAGTTTGAAGTTATTTTTTTTCTAAACCGTTTGATCGATTTGGATATTCTTCTTTTTGGATGATAGGTTGATTCGTGGAGATTAATAATCTCTATAATTCTGTATTTAAAATTTACTTTTTGAATGAATACTGGGTGTTGCCATAATATAGGGTTTTGGATAGAAAATTTGTAACACCCTGTGGGGTGTACCAGTAATAACAGCGTATTGCAATTAATAGTCGACTTTAGCCTCATCTTTTCGTAAAATGTTCCTTTTTGGTTCGTTTTATTATCTCTATTTTTAGAGGAGATTTACAGTTTTTTTATCACAGTCTCTTTTTACAGACTCACATATTGGTAGTTTACAAAGGTTTACATGCATATATTGAATAAACTGAAAGGTAGGCTTTGACAAATGAAAAATTATACGTAACGTCATCCAAATTCAAATTGACAGTTTGCTGGTATATAAATTTTTGCGGTACATTTCAACACTTTTCATTGTGATTTCTTACAATACTTACATTTAAACTGTGTACTAAACTGGATTACAATGAACGTTCAACGACACTTATCTGAAGAACAGGCCGTAAAAGTAATTACTCTGATTGAAGATGGACGAAGTCAAAGATACGTTGCTAACGTAATTGGGGTTCAACAAAGTACCATTTCAAGAGTTGTAAGGCGCTATAGAGAAACCGGGCAATATTCTAGGAGAGAAGGTCAAGGACGTAGAAGAATTACTACAGGTGTAGATGATCGTTTTTTACGAGTAACGGCCTTAATAGTAGGAGAGCCCACTGCAAATTTCGACCGTCATCTGATAACGAAATGAAATATGCTTCAGAGGCATGTAAAAATATTGTACTTTACTAAACGCCACCTGTGCCTATCACTATCCTGAGCAAAATAGTTAAAACAATGGCACTTCCGGTGTCATAATTAGCGGGAAATGTCGTCATTTGATAACGAGATAAGACTTATGCCATCGGATAGCTATTGATTAATAGAACTTAAAAATGTACCTGTGCCACCTCTTTTTCTGAGCCAAATGCTTGGCACGGCCTATTTATTCAGCCAAAATTCTCGACAAACTTCCGTCATGTGATAACGAGTTAAAACAATATGCATTTGAATGGGCATAATGTCCCATTCAGGAATATCCGCATGTGCCACGTTTTAACCTGAGCTAAGTTGCTGGCACAGCGTAATTTCTGGGACGCGCCTCGTCCAACTAATTTATTTCATATATACAAAAAATCACATAAGCCATGACATCGAAAATTATTTGTATTGAAAATTACAATCCTAATAATTAATTTTGAACCTATTAGTGAATTCTCGAATTGTATTCCAATTTTATATATTTTTTTACAGATTTAAAAATAAGAAGAAGGTTCTCAAATCGTCGGAATGTATTTTTTTTATGTACGTTCAGCGATAATTCTATACCACGTTGTTTGATTTCTATGATTCTTTTTTGTAAGAAAGAGGGTACCTCAGTGGTGGTCACATATAAAATTGGTCAAGGTCTGATGATGGGATACACGAGAAAATTATCAAACTCTTTAATTTCCAAAAGCAACTAACTGTACGATTTAGGAGTTTGTTTTTTAAAATTACTTTTATAACTTGTTATTATCAATATACAGGTTTATTATTTACCAAAATAACTTAATAGGTATTTATTTAAATAAATATGATTACTATTTTTATCCGTCTAAACAAGTAAACTGTTGTAAAATAGAGTTAAATAGGTACAGCATTAATTTTTATACCTGAAATATTAAATTTTATGTTTTAAACTATAATCATAGTAGGCAGTTTCTTGGCGTTTCTATGACAACCTGTAAAAATGAATCAGAATATTAAGTAAACAAAAATCTTGAAATTATCAAAAATTAATTAATTCATTTTGTTAATAGTTCTTATTATTCTTGGATAGATGTTTTTTATGCGATGTAAAAGGGAAATATGTTACATTTTTGTCAAATAAAAAAATTCAAATACAAAGATGTAAAGTTATCCCGTGAAATAGCGGAAAATGTTGGTTATCACCCAGAGTGCAAAGTCAAGTTCATGGTTTTGAAAAAGAAGTACAAGGATGATATCGATAATATGTTCAAAATGGATGTTAGTATAAAATATGTTTAAGGATTATAAATAGCAAAATACGTCTACTAGTGATGAATGGGGTTACAACTGGCGTTTCATATTCGAACTGAAAGAAAAACTGATGTGCATCAAAAAAAATAATAATGGGTGTTTGTAAATGAATGGTCTTGTGCATGCTTCAATACTTAATGGGTCATTTTCAGAAAACCACCTCTTTAGGTAAAATCGATACCCATTTTTATTATTTTATATTATGAATGTTTTGATTATTAAAATCTAATCCTAATATATTTAAATCAAGGAACCTATTATTAACAGCGCACTTTTTGATTTTTAAATGAATTTTTTGGAATTTTTTGTCAATGCGTACAAAAATAAATCCTGCTTTTATGAAACTCGTCACATATATCTACCGGGTCTAAGACAAATAGTA